AATGCTTAGAACCCCAAAGGCAGTTTCAAGAGTCACAACATGAGAACTTCAATGCAACAGAATTCTGAATTGTTTGAGTCTCGACTTGCAGCTTGAGTTGTGAAGTTTACGGCTTTACGGTCACATAATTCACATAGGCTCTTGCGATTCATTGTACAGTGGCTGTCAGAGTTTAACGCTCAGGATTTCCGGAAGGACCTTGAAAAGCACCAGGCATCAGAGCTCATTTTGCCAAAGGCCCGCCTTGCATTGGGTACTCCAATATATGTTTGCTTGCAGGGGTTTCACAACGTGGTGCTTGCAGTGATCGGTTGTTTATATGTCATTTTGCTGTTACCTTTTGAATATGTGTGAACCCTGAGAAATAGGGACTTTTTGTATCTTTGCGCACATCCGCTTTGTTCCTTATACAGTTCCTGACTGTGATTCAAAGAGAAGCAAGATGTCGAAACACCAGGCTGAAGAGAGCTCAGATCTTTCAGATGCCCTGAAGCGAATGACAAGATGCGAAGAACAAATCGAGGACTAAGACTAAGACGCTTCAAGACCGCTGGTGTTTGGTTGCGATGCGCACTGGAAGACTTTGGCAAAACCATTACCGTGGACATCGCCAGTGGTGCCCTGGACATCGCCGGTGACAACAGAGACAGACCCATCTGCAAGGGATGCACAGCCAGACGACAGAAAGGTGGCACATCGACCAACATCAGGTCTGTAAGTGACTTGTAACATTCTTGTCATCGCTGATACAGACACTGACTTGGCCACGCCAGCGATGATGCGCTTTATTGGGGTTGGCAGCGGATCAAAGCTTTCGATAGGCTCCTAACAGATAGGGTATTTGCCCAGCCAAAAGTCACCTGGGATCAGTATTAGGTGGGACAGCAGCAGCAGCAGCAGCAGCAGCAGGTGCGTGTCCACCGAGTCTCTAGCCACCTCGTCGTCTTCGCTGCTCAGCATCGGACTGTTGAGCCCTGCCGCAGGAGCTCCGCTCTCTCCGACGCGAGCCGCTGCACGAGGCAGCGACGGCCTCGCAGCTGCTGTTGCCCAAGGCCTGCAATTTGTTGAGTTTATTGGGGGTACGGAAGATATCAGAAGATGAATGAAGATTATGGAAGATACGTTGTGCTTTTTCATGTGTATTTTTCCCAAAGGGACGACCTCATGATGAACTTCGTGTGGCCCTGTGTGGGTCCCTAATGAGAAGTTGGATGTGTTTCTGAAAAAGCATCATGATGCTTTTGACCCAGAATGAGACAGCTTCAGCTTCTGTGTCGATTTGGCCCATTGCTGCGTTTGGTCGTTTCGGCACCCCCCGGTGGGTTCGACGGGTCGACGGGTCGATGTTCGTGGCGGCCCAGCATTTCTGTCACGGAACATGGGAGGCCAGCCGTCCAGAACATGAGGACGAGGTGGAGCAGAGCAACTGGGTGATGAGCTACCATTATGTTCAGGATGAAATGATTTGCCTGGAAAGGTTTGCAATTCCCGGAACTGGAACTGCCTCAAAAAAGAGATGATTTACATGTGTCACAGACCAGCATAGGTCTCCTCCTCTGTGATCTCTGTGCATCTCATTGCGAGGCGGAGCTGAGTGACATTCAACTGATGCTCTTGGATCTCCAGCAGAGGGCCTCTTGCCTCTAGGGGTAGCAGTGTGCAGCATGATGGGCAGTATGTAGCAACACTGTTCACCCACAGAAACGATATACACAGACCCAGAGGGGGTCGTATATGGTGCTTGTGTACGTCTCACTGGTCCTTTTTTGGCCCCTTCAACCTCTTCAGAGGCATTGAAATTGAAAGGGATTTAACAAGCCCCTCCACCTGGATGACCCTTGAGATCCGCATGGTTGACTCAGTGTGATGGGATTGCGGGATTGCTGGAACAAAGGCTTTGCGGGATTTGAAGTTGCATTCCTCGCTGGGTCTCCCTAAGGGCACCAACAACACCTCCATGGAATCATCGAAGTGAAGTGGAGTTTGCTACCTGTTTGGTCTTCCGATTTTCGGGTCCTCCGTTTAACCATAGGGCCATGCCATCCGTGGTGCCCCCTTCCTCAGTGGCCCCGGTTCGACCTTGCCTGGCCCCGAACGGAGCTTCCACCCGAGGTCTCAGCGCTGGAAGGACCGACCCGGAAAGACGAAAGATGACGGGTGCTTCTGCGGCTGCTTCTCGTGGACATGTGGCTTCCTCGTTCAACAAATAGAAGATGCTTACTTGAAGACGCGTGGTTTGACAAAGCAGAGGCATTGTTGTTGATCATCCCTTGGTGCGGCTTTGGCACAAACTGGCCATGTGTCCACTGCATGAGGTTTGGTAAGGAAGGGTGATCCACCATTACAAAGTGGCGCGTTATGCAAACCATACGTAAGATCTCCGTACTTTGAGACATGCCTGGTTTGTTGGAGGATGCATCGTGCTTTGGTCAAAAGGAGCTTCTCCACTGGCAAGCTTGGCTCCACCAAAGGGTCAACAGATGTTTCTTCACCTCAATCTGGAGTGAAACCACATCAAATGATTACTAAGCGAACGTCACTCGTCTTTCAATCTCCCAAGAGGGACCCCAGTCGTGCAAGTTGTGACCCGTGTCCGCCCTGCAATGAGTGCAGGAGCGGAGGTCGAGGGGCCGGAGGTCAGGAGAAAGGGTTGATGGTTTGATGACGCGTCACCTGCTGATGTTGCTGGTTTGGACATAAAGATCCAAGTGCAAGGATGGCTTATGAAAGAAGAGAAGTCCAAGTCAAAGAATCTCTCCTAGGTCTTAGAGTGTTATATGATGTTATATATATATATATAGTGTTGTTGTATTTTCCCTGTCAAACCACGGTTATAGAATTCCTGACAAGCCATGGAATATCAGCAAGAGCGGTGCTTCTGTGACACCCAAGCTTGAACCCTGCAACTGACCTCTGGCAACCTCTGGTCCTAGATATCAGAGATCGGCTTCAGGCGGGCTTCAGAACGCCTGGTGATGGATGGTAGTGATCTGTTTTGTTTTGGGCTCTTCAGGGTCAGAGAGTATTTATAGCACAGTGAAAACTGGTTCAGGTGGCTCTCGCAGAACTGACATATTTTTGGAATTTTGCCAAAGGATGGCTTCTCTTGTAATCATGTGGGTCTTGGAACCAGACTACCTGGTTGTTGTAAGAACCAGTTAACTTATACAACTGTTCATGTGTGAGGATTTCACGGGGTTCTCCGTGTCAGGTGATCCTTGTCAGCAGAGAATCGGCCTGAACTACAAGCCAACCCCATCCAAACTCCCATGAAAAAGTGCTGTGGAGCCATGAACAGGCCACTTCAGCTGCTGTGCGCACGCCTGTGGCAGTTCTGGGGCAGGCTGCTGAGCTGGTGCGGGGCCCCGTGGCCCTGGGTGGGCGACAGTGGAAATGTTTGAGGTTGGAAGTTGGAGATGAGGATGGATGATGTGTGATTGGTTGACTACTGTACGGGCTCATTGGGGTATAATGAGGTTCGCCAGCTGTTGAAACTAGATTCAACTTGATCAATCACCAGCCTCCAGATTGAAATCCTGCAAGGAAACAGTTTGATTGATTTCTTACCCTCAGCCTCAAACCGTTCAATCAAATGAATAGATCTCTGAAGGTTGTAGAGCTCAAAACATGGAGTTGTCTCCCCATTGACAGCTTTGTGGCCCTGCTAAGATTCAGAAGATCGAGTCAGACTTGCAGCAAGCACGAGAAGCTGTGGTCCCAGGCGGGCTAGGGAAGACGAAAGAACAGTGGGGAGCATGGGGCGCTTGACTTTTGGATGCTTGCTTACCTTGCTTTGGCCCTCATCAACTTGAACTCGGGTGTTGAGAATCCAAGGCGTTGTTGTGGCCCAGAGTCAGTGATTCTTCCCAGAATCTTCAGGAATGGATTGTGACTTGCTGCACTAGCTGCACTAGCTTTCCACCCCCAGATTTCCACCTCTTGATGTTGACGCAGCTGCTGTGCTTTGTAGTTCAGGAAGGAATGGGTCGATTTTGTCGCACAAAGTTCTGAAGTCACATAGATGCGCTGTCCTGAGACTCATATCGTGGAGTTTAGTGGAGGAGATCTTGAACATGTTTCTTCAGGATCTACTCGCTTGAATGCTTGTGCTTTTCCGCGCTGATCTGCGTAGGTCTCGACACACAGAAGCTTAAGCAGAACCTTGGCATCCAATGCGCGAAGAGTGGGTGCATGCGAGAATGACTTGTGCTGTGGGCCGGATGCTGATGTGCTTTATAAGACCAAGAAATGTATTATTCATTTGGTTTTGCAATGTGTTGCCCTCTAGTTAACCTAGAAAAATGACTGTCATTCCGGTATTGCTGTTTGAGAAATAGTATTTCTTTGCACACACCGTTTCGACAGAACATAGAAACAGCGCTTGCGTGGGCGTTCAATGGTTCTAGACCCTTTGCAAGCGAGAGTTGATGTGACAAATTATCGTACACCTTTCTCAGGGACTCAGTCTATATGAGGAGAAACTGCGCAAGAGCCTTTTGAAAGTCCTTTTGAACATTTGTGGACTGGTAGACTAAAGATATTCAGCGATGGGCTTTTGTGCAGCTGAGATAGCTGGTGTGTTGTACTCGTTTTTATCCATTTCCCAGCTCCACGTGCCATGCTGCATGTAATTACCCAGGAAGGAATCAGATGACACATTGGCTTGACTCAATTTCAAGGAGAACCTCCTTTGGGCCCTACTCGTCCAAATCCTATAATTCACTGATTGGTGTCACAGGCTTTCTCAAGTCTAAGTTTGGACTTGTGTCGAGCGCTTGACCATTGAAGTCTTTTGCTCAAACACCGTCAAAGACGTTGCAAGAGGCCATGAGTTTATGATTTGTTCGGCCAACTAGTCTACTAAGGCTAAGGCTTAGGTACTTCAAGCGTACACGTGCACTCCGTGTTTATTGACTCTTCTGTGCATTCTTTGGACAAAGAACCCTCACCTACTTGGCTGACAGCCTTCCGGTCTACAGCCGCACCGTGCCTTCTTTGCCATGAAGGCACTGAAGCAGAAATTGCAAAGGCATTCCTGCACCCGACAATGGGTCGGTCTGGAGTCCGACAAGAGCGCCGTGTCCTCGGATGAGCAGGAGCCACTCGTCTCGTCTCGCTCCGTTTTGGGCCCGAAGGCTGTCAGGTTGTGGGGATGTGCCGGGGTGTTTGACGGAATAAACCGGTTCGTTTGAGATCTGGAATTGGAGACCCGTCAACATAGCGCGTCACTAGCCATTAAAAAACTATAGCATTCGGTGTTGGTCAGGTTGGCGATTTATGAGCTTGTTTCTAGCTATTTTACCTTCGCTGACAAGTTTACCGGAGCAATCAATCCATTCGATATACGTTTACTACATAGATACACAGATACACACCTGACTGAGCGCCTTCTTCTCGTCTGAGGCTACGTCAAGAGCTGGAGTTTCAACAGAAGGTGACTGAGGCTCTGGACGCCTATGGCAAGGTGCTGGAAACTGCTTCCTACAATCTGCTGGAAGCTCATCAGTCCCTGATAGATTTGGGACTTGAAGCCTGGAGAGAATGGAGGGTATTTGAGACTGGAGGGCCCAAGGCCCCCAAGGCAGTGGGACTACTTTCAGAGACCTGGAGGCTTTGGGTAGAGAAGGCTTTGCTTCCAAACAAAAGACAATGACAATCATTGAACAGAAAGAGGGTACGAATTCTCATTCACCAAGATGGACATGTGACTGCATGGATCAGAAATAGGGCCCATTTTGCTGGAAACGTGCGTTTGTTTTGCTCTTTTTGGCTCTATGCAATGAATTTGTTGGTTCACCCTAAAATAGATCTTCAACGATGTGTTTTTTTTGGGTGAGGTCTCCTCGATTTCATTTCCGACGATTTCCGATGACCCCACAAGACGACCTCTGCTTCCAGTCGGGTCCTGGAAGATGGTCCAGCAAGATCCGCAGCCCAGTTTCCAAGTAACAAGGACGCTACTAGGGGCTCCTGGCATCGCTACTAGGAGCGAGGACGCCAGTTAAGTCTTGAGGAATTTCCCACGTCGCCCAACTCCACCACCACCTCGCGACGATCCACCCACCCAGGAGGCCCTCTGCCCAGAGTTCTCCGCTTTGCACCGAGCCTTGCGCTCCCTGGTGACCTCCCTGCGTGAGGGCGCCAGCGCTGTGAAGCCATCGTTGCAAGCGCATGGCGCACAGCTGATGACCTGTGCACAGAAGGTCAAGGAGGTGGATGAGGCTGATCGGAAGGGAATGGGATGTCTTAAGAACTTGTTTTGGCATGTTTTGGCCTTTATTATCTCTATTTTCATCTATTTTCGAAGATGTTGGTGCGAATTGAATTCGCGCTGAGCCAAGACCGTTGGATCCCGTCGCGCATATTTTGGATGAGTTGCACTTGGTGCATTCGGTGCTGGCTGGACCAGCCAACATGCTGTTGACACACTTTGCATGTAACTGGCCTGGAGGCACGTGCCCTGCAGAAGCACTATGAGGATAAGGTGGGGTTGGCCGAACCTCCAGTGGGAGATCCATACGGGAAGTCCTTTACTTGTCAAAACAACCCCAGTGATGGGGTTGGGGGGGCTGTTTCTTGTATGTTTCTGGTTTAAGACAAATCCCCTAAAAAGTTTACAGCCCAAATGATCGTGTTGGTCACCCCACCTTCATACAGGAAGTTCTCATCCTCAAAGCTTTCCTAGGAGGGCGACCCGTTTCTTCCAGAAAGTGTTTGTTTTCGTAGAGGAATGAACAAATGGGTTCAACAGCGACTGCCTTTGCATCTCCTCCGGGCACAGACCTTCGTCAGCGTGGGATGTTCAATGTTCATCACTGAAGGTCACCACGCTGGACGAGGAGGTGAAACGGAAAGGCGCCGGAATGAACATTGGGCACGGGGGTCTGCGCTGGAGGAAGAAGGAATGCAACTGATGCAACTGAGGCAGTCAGCGGGTCATGTTTGCGGGCCGTTGGGTCCAGGTGAATGCCCGCAGGATGTTTTGGGTCTAGGACTTCCTCAGGATGCTTTGGTGTCGGAAGTACTGTACATCCTGAGGATGGATTGAGGATGGCTTTTGACCATGTGGAAAGAAGTGATTAACTTGAAAAAATCTTGATGAGCCTAGAGGCTACTACTTGGCAACTACCATCTCATACCTAAAGCCTAAGACATGTTTTTCAAGGAGCCTTTTCGCGCCCAGGCTCTCCAGCCCTCCAGTCAAAGGTGGACCGCAACCATGAGAAACTACAGCAAGCCTCTCAGTCCTCCAAGACGGCTGAGGCTGCGGCACAGGAGATCAAGATTGGTTTCACTGCAGAGAAGATTTGGTCTTTGCTATGAGCTTAAAGTCGGTCCTAATTTCTTCATGGAAAGACTGCACTTCGTCGAGTTTGCAGACATCAGACATCTATATTATAGGCTTCTAGGATTCCGCTCGGCTGTTTCAGGGCAACCCCACAGGAGCACAACATCTATTTTGAAATCAGGGTCTTTGGATTAGCCCAGGTTTCTTTCACAACTACGTACTGTAGCTATTTTGCTTCCCTTTTTCTGTCAGGAGTCCCTGCGTGCCTGCTGGGCCAAGCGCTCGCGCTTGCGGGAGATTTCCGACACATGGAGTTCCACCCTCTCGGGTGCCCTCCAAACCGCCTCCGCCCTGGCGCGCCCCTAGTCCGAACGCCACAGCGGAAGGGCACTCACGCCACAGACGTGAAGGGGCACTCACGCCGGGGTTAGGTGCTTTTTGAAGGGCAGGTGAAATCGCAAGTTGGCCCATTGGGTGTATTTGGCCATGCTTTGGTGGGGACATAGGGTGTCAAGAGAGAAGACACGAGAAAACCCATGAAAACCCTCTGCTGCAGAAACTGAAACATCTAAAAACCTTACCCGCTCCTGCAGTTGTTTTAATATCATCTAGTTCCATCCGTGACTAGCAAAGCCAAGATGGTGAACAGTTCCAGACTTGACTGGTTGGGCCGCAGTGCTCCGCAAAGTGAGCTCCGCTAAGGACTAATTATAGCAACAATAACATGCAACTATTTTTTTTCCAGGTGAAACCTCCCAACCCCAAATAGGACATAATAGGACCATTTGTACAATCGCATCTCGTCTTCCAGTTTGCACCCTCCAGGTCCTGCTGAGCCACCGGCCGGCTACGCCGATGCCCTGAACCCCTTCACCGACGATCTCCTCAACGATGCTTCGCCCGCCTCCGCCCACGCGGCTGTGGCACCTGCGGCAGCGCCCGCTCCCGAGACACGCGCGGCCTCGTCGACGACCCCGCCGGCCGCGGTCACGGCCGCCGTCAGCGTGGCGGTGCCGGAGCTGGGCGTGGCCACCAACCCGTTTGATGCGGAGAGTGATCGGGAAGAAGAGGCAGGAGAGTGGAAGCAGTTGGAGTCGGAGAGTGAGAACAGCACTGGTAAAGCAGAGAAGGCCCACGATGCAGAGGAAAAGAGGAAGGCTTTTGGGAGTGTGAGCTGGAGCTTGGGCTAGAAATTCAACCAGGTCAGGAATTGAAATATTTTTGCAAAGGGTCTGTGCAGATACTATGAGGGGTCCACGTCATAAGCCAGCAATGCCCGTAGGTTGCAAGCTCGCTTGGCTGTGTTCATGTGGGGGAGAAGTCAATTCCCACAGAACTGTGACACGAGCCCCAGTAACAAGCCCAAATTTACCTCACGTGTTCATCACAAGAGTCTAAGAGTCGAGGAATCTCAAGGAATGAGATCCCATGACTTGAAGTTCACACCAGATGTGTTTGTACATGATTGAAAGAGCCTACCAGTCAGCAGTCAGAATTACTGTATTTGGCCTTTGTGGTCCAGGAGCTTCTCCAATTGGGATCCGGTGCAGGTCCGTTCTTTCGGCGCCCTTTCCGCCCATTTGAGGCTCGTGGACTCAAAGGCTCGGGGCGACTCGGAGTCGCCCGGGATTCGGCCTGAAACTGTGAGCAAGCCAGTTAGCAACCCATACTCTCAGCATATTCATCCATACTCTCAGCATTATGAATTAGACAGGTATGGTGATTTGGGTTGAAACGCTCAGTTTGGTTTCTTCCTCCTTGACGAAAGTCCACAATGAGTTCCATGGCTTACATTGCCTTACACCTGAATAGAGTAATGATTTTGGCTTACGCAGCTGTGTTGCTGACCCAACATGACCCAACGGTGTACTATTTGGTAAGGAGCTGCCCTGTAACAGTGATCTCCCTTGGATTTTTTAGAATGTCCCAGAATGTCTGGAAGAAATCCTGCATTCTGGAACCATCAATACACAGTGGGCTGAGCATCTTCACTCCAACCACTCCAACAATTGAGCCCTGAAGATTTCTCAAAGCTTCCTGTGAGGCGTCAGCACCTGCGCGAGACGAGGGTGCGGGCACGCCCCGCGCGCTCCCTCCATTGGCGGCCGATGCCTGAGAGTTGGGGCATGTTGAGTGGTCAGTGGTTGTATCTGGATATTCCCTCAACTATCCAACGTGAAAATGAATAGTGTGTATATCATTGTATATCAACTGATACTGCTGATGGGGACCTCATCCTGGATGGATATCAGATTTTGTTGTCAAGACCTTGATTTTAAAGGGAGAGAGCATGGGCGCTACTTGATGGTACATGCTCAATTACGATTGGAAAACACATCGATACCCACCAATTGATTTACTGTATGTTGCTTGGAATCGATTCTTTAGGGAGGCTACTGTGGTGAGGTGAACCCTGTTGTTTTTATTTTGTGTTTCTACAGATTTCCAATGTAATACACTGACCCACTTAGGTAAAATTCTTGGATACCTTTTCATGTCTATTGTTTAAACCGCACAAATCTGTTGGAGACGGATCCCACACGTCCGGTCCGGGGCAGAATCTGAAAGCTGCGCGTGAGAGCCACAAGACATCTCAAAGCATTGGATAAAAGAATCGCCACCAGGCTTCAGCGAGGTGCCCAAGGACGTTACTAGGGGCGCTCCTGGCATTACTAGGAACAAGAAGCTAGTAACAGGTGCCTTACTAGTAGTAACAAGAAGCTACTAGTAACAGGTGCCACGCTAGTAGTAACAGGTGCCTTACTAGTAGTAACAAGTGCCTACTATTAACAAAGGGCATCGCTCCGAACGGAGCGATCGGATGCTTCCTTTTTCTTGCTCGAACCTCTCCGAGGCGATGAAAGTGATGGCGTCTCCACGGCTACAGTCGGCGAACCCAGTGAACTTGTCGGGACGATGTGTCGCGTCATGGTCAGCCCAGCACGGCGAGGAGAGATGTTCAGCGACCTTGGCTCAAGGTGCTCACCTACTTTCCTGACCTTGGCAACGGGTGGATGTTGTCATGTTTCTTTATCTGATGGTTTTTCCTTTGCTACAGGTCCTGATTTATAGCTAAGTACATGTATTGGGGTACACCATGGTACACCACGAAGTTCCTTACATACTTGGCTTTCGATTTTGTGGCTTTGGGTCCTCGGGTTTGGGATTGTGGGTCCTCGAGTGTCAGGGAGTTCGCGTCGGGGTGTCGCCAGGGTCTCCACTTACCATTCAAAAGTGCTACCCTGTGACCACCTGCCACGCAAAATGCCACGCACACAGGTAACTATATTGTTGTAGCTGTGTGTTTGTGGTTTTGTTTGAGTGTTGTGGTTGTGTGTGTGTTTGTGGTTGTGCTTGTGGTTTCTATGTTTCTGCTTGAGTGCTGTGGTTGTGTGTTAGTGGCTGTGTGTTTGTGATTGTGGTTATGTGCTTGTTGCTGTGCTTGTGGTTGTTGTGTTTGTGGTTGTTGCGTTTGTGGTTGTGTGTTTGTGTGTTTGTGGTTGTGGTTGTGTTTGGCTGTGTGCTTGTAGTTGTGCTTGTGGTTTGTTTGTTTGTTTGTTTGTTTGTGTATGTATTGTGGCTGTGTTTTGTTGGTTGTGTATTGTGTATAATGTGTTTGTGGTTATGTTGTGTGTTGAGGTCTGGTAGTGCCCCTTGTGATCTGGCACTTGCGGTTGAGGTCCGGCAGTGCCCACTGCGATCTGGGACTTGCTGTTGAGGTCGGGTAGTGCCCACTGTGATCTGGCGCGTGCAATCATGGCGAGGAGGCGGAGGAGGGAGAAGAGCTCTGATCAAATCTAACAACCCTCACCTGGCAGGTGTGGAAAAACAACAGCTTTAAGTGTCAAGATGTCAGCCGGATCTGATTTGTCAGCCTTACTTTCAGAGTGGCCATTGGAACTACTTTGACAATCCACGCCAAGCCTTCGTAGACAAAGCCATGAGCTCTTGAAGCGGGCGAATATTTTCTCAGATCTTTGCGTCAGCCTTGGCTTCTTATTTGGGAACTGAGATCCAAGACATGCACTGTGCGTTGTCCGTCGTGGTGGGGCCCGAGCCGTTTGTGCTCAGAGAGCTCGCAGTTTTTGAAAGCTAGGTTTTATGCCCCTTCGGCGAAGATGCCTGCTCCACAAGCCCACCCTGGTGCCATACCTTTGGAAAAATCTCAGTGGCACCTCAGCCATGCTGGTTGCTCCTCCGTCAAGCCCTTTCCACTGCCAAGCCTTTGCGTCAAGTTTGCTCAAAAGGTGGGTCCAACACAGTCCAAGGACTCACCCGATGGGTGATGCTGAGCACATGTCCAAAGCGGAAACCTCAAGGCATGCATTGCATGCACGACTGGGGGCCACAGCTGCAGTGTAGTGTGCAAGAAGGAACCCGTTGAACCAACATCAAACATGTTTTTCACTCACATGCCCAACGAGGATGCTGGAGCTTTGCCGGTTGAAGTCGTGTAACATTGCAACATGATTTGGATATCCATGTTTCATTTTTTTGGCCTTGGGAAATGTGGTACGTTTTATGGCCACTCGCCGCTCTCTGACCTCCCCTTTGCAAGATTGAGCGCATGCGGCTTACCATGCATTGTTGATTTGCTTGTCGGGCTGGCCGGGACTTCAAGGACATATGTAGCTTCGTACCCCAACAGAGGACCGACCCCAGGTGAGGCACTGAAGCACCGCTGATATACAGAAGGCAATGTGCGGCAAACTCGTGAAGAGGCATGCTTCACAAGCAGTACTCAGTACTACAGTACCTTGTTCATGCATCAAACAGAACAAAGAGACGCGTCCTCTCATGGTTTGCAATACCTTGCGCTCAATGGAGTTGCAGCCTGTGACCGTTTGTGTAAAAACCTGTTACCTATACAGTGTTGCTTTGGAACAATGTAGGTGTACAATCCAGCAGAGCTGCAGCTGGATTCCCCTGTTCTTGGGTTTGACCTGGGTCCAGAGAGGGAGCCGCTGCGAACTGGGCTGCTCATACTATAGGATTGGATCATGAATAGGGAAGGCGAAAAACTATCGGGAACAGCTGACACCTTTTCAAGACCAAGTGGCAGAAAACATTGCGACTAGCAATGGCTTTGCGCAGCACTGCGCAAAGGAACTTGTGTCAAGGCAATGAACCAGTGAAGCATCCGAAAGAAGCAGAAAACCCCACAGGTGAACTCGCATGCTGGCATGAACAGATCATGACCTGCCCATTGAAGCTTTAAATAGTTGCAGGTAATTTTTTTAAAAGTGGAATCACGCCTGAAGTACAGTAGCATGCAGTAACCAAATTTGTGAACAAATAGGCAGTATGTATTTAATTGCCCATGTTGAAGTCATTAATTAAGTTTTTCGACACTTGCTTCCAAGATTACGATCACATGCAGATATAAATAATGCAAGCAAAGACAGCGGCATCCTGTGCCCGCAAGGATGCAGATTTTTGGGATTCGTTGGTTGAAAATTACAGACACGTCCCGCCTAGGCGCCTGTCAATGACCCCACGCCTTCAGCCCGGGGGCCCGCGACACTGGGCATGGGTCGTGTGGACAGTGATCATTGGTAAGGCGTATGTGGACCAATCTCATCAGATGGGCGGCCTGTGAACAACGCACAATTAGAGAGCAATTCTGGTAGACAACTGTAACTGACTGATGGAGGTCAGCCAGGGTGGAGAGGGAAAACCTATATGGAAAACCTTAGATATGTTTGCTTTTGTGAAGCCAATAAATTTGAAAGGCCTTTCTCAAGTTCGGCAGCATAGCAATCGAACATGGTTGCATGCAGTCGGAAGTTGTGGCAACATTTGTTGAGGTGTGCCACCAACAATCACAGTGAATGGTTTGAGTGCTGGCTTTAGTCTACAAAGATCTTCAATTTCTTTCGATTGGACACCTACTAGTATGTACTGTGCATCCTGTTTGTTGTGAATGGCATCCACTGAGACCATGCTGGCAAATTCATCCGATGGGTCTGGGTTGCTTCGCTCTTTTTCTTGCAAACAGTTGGTGGATCTGAAGGGGAAGATCGGAAGATCCGTCAAAACAGGGTCATGAGGCAACTGCGTGAAAGAGGCACTTTCCCGTGAGCGAGCCATTTTCAGGCTTGAAGCTGCCATTGAAAGCTGAGAAGATGGTATCGGCTCCATGAACATGTCACCTCTCAGGTTTAATCTCTTCAGCTGCTTAAAACATCTTAAAGCCCTGAGATGGATGGAACTTGGGGATTCTCATGATTTTCAAGGAACTGGTTGGTTCCAATCCTTTTGAACCCCTTCAGAAGGAACTAGTTGTCTTGACACACCTGCAGCTCCGTCAAGTTCGCCGTGGCGACCATGGCATCCTCAGAGTGGGAAATCACATTACGCAGCTTGGTGCTCGGAAAACTGTGGGCATTCCTTAATCTGACCTGCATAATAAGGTCACATAAGGTCAATAAATTACTGTACAGGTCGCAATTGGTCTGGTTCGTTGGATTATCCCCGAGAATTTCTGTTCCAACTTGTATATAACCGGTTTTGTTGTCAGAAGAATCTCTTTGCAACCGCCCCCCGAAGGAACACACGTTTGCTGCTCTATTTGGCACAATGTTCGGGGGAATGATCTTGAATGGGCTAGACCAGCCGTTAGCTTCATTCAATATCTTTCAAAAAGGTTGGGGTAAATCAAATCGCTTTGTATTTGGGTATTTGGGCCCAAGTCAAAGTGGCTTCAAATTACTGTAAATGCTAAGGCTGAAACCATGGAACATCGCCAAGTAGTCTATTCTTTTCCTTCCCTGAGAGTCCACATTGATACTAAATACAAACCGCTGGCTTTTTGTCCACTTTCTCTAATTACTATGAAACAGGCCAGGGCAATTTGCCATTCCCGTCTTTGGGGTATCATACATCGGCCCCGGCCTTGACTCAACATCGGACACGATCAGTGCATTGAGGACACTATCGGCTTTTGAGCTCTCAGCCTGCCTTTGCTCGGCAAGTGCCACTTGATCAAGCAGAAATGACCGAGCAGCACAAGATTGCTGCTTCAGTTCTTGGGGCGGTTTAGAGCTTCCCCGTCTTCCTTACCGACAGTACATATCCTGTGAATGTCGTGTGTGTATCGCCACCTTCCTTTCATTGAAATGAAGTTCCTGACATGAGGAAGACAGGAAGGACCCAGCCTTGAATTGATGGCCGCCACAATGCTGCCACAAGTACCTATCTTGGATCCCTGCCCACGTAGTGCTAGAATCAAACACATTTTTAAACCATTCAGTGATTCAGTCATTGGGCAACAGTAGATGATACCCGGATATTCCCAATTTACAGTTTGTCACAAGGTGGAACAGTTTCTTCGTGGGATGTTCGCCTATGCTCGTTCGTCGGTGCTTAGTTTTGACCCATACAAACGGTCAGCCACGCGATTCACCTGAACAAGCTTTTTTGTTTTGGTGTACCTGCCAGAACAGCCTCTACCATTTTTTAGGCGATGCCCTCGATGCCCTGTCGCCAAGGCTAAGATGCCCTCACTTTCCACCAACGGAGGACGGTGGAGAGACGGGCTATGTCCAGAACTGCCCTGTGGGCTGTGCAGATTTTGATTCATCTCCACACAGGTGGATAAGCCCTCACAACCTTCCACAAGAAATACAGTGAAGAATTTGAAACCTTCATCCATCTTATTTTTGTTCTTTCCACAGCCGATGCCACAGGGAAGAGACAGATGGGCCTCTTCTTGGATCTGGGGCTGAGAGGGATGAACCGACACGAAGGTGCCATCAGAATCCTTTTGTAGGAGCTCTTAGGATTCAAGAACCTGTTCATCTACACAAGTTCTTCCATTGCTCTCCCGGTTTTGACCTGCCTGTGGGTTCGAACGAACCTGAAGTCAGCGTCATGCTCCCGAAGTCAAACAAAAAGGCATGTTGGCGTTGCTTGGAGGAGATCATAGGAGATCCATGGAGTTTATAGAAAACAACATCTGCATCAGCTGGGATACCGAAAAAAGACCGCAGAATCCTGGAGTCGTTTGAACACTTTCTATAGGGTAATGTAATGAAAACCTCATGTGGTGTAGGGCTTGGTGCACGAACTATTTGATCTTTACTTGAACAAACCACGCACACCACAAGGACCACCCAACTGTGGACACCACCTGCAGTGGGAGTTGGCTCAGACAAACCCCTTGCAGAGGAGACCACCGAACGACCACGACAAAGACTGCGGAGCCAGCACAGCCAGCGATCCTCCGACGCAGCGACCCATCGCTGGCGAGAGCTATCGAGCAGCTAAGCGTGCAGGAACTTCTTTCACACTACGATTTTTTTGGTAAGGGACTGCGAATGCCCTGCTAAGGCGGTTTTTTGGTCAAACAAACATGGCCAGCCGGATCAACACATCCTTGCCCAGATGTTTTTGTTTTCAGCTTCTAAACTGTTTGGCAACACGCTGTTCGCAACTGGCTTTGAATGTAGAGGAGTTGTCAAGTCTTTGGGTGCTGGATGTTTTGTGATAGAATAGGATCAACAGGGAATGCATCTTGAAAGAAACCCTCCAGCAACTCAGCGGCCACGCGAGGCACGCTTGTCTTGGCCTCCTTGCTGTCTTCCTGCCTGAGCCCGCAAGGGGAGCAGGACTGCAGCCTGCCGATGGAGTACCACCTTATATTGAATTGACCATGTTCGAAAGGATTTGGTTCACCCGGACTGTACAGTATGTGAAGTGCTGACAAGTTGTTGGGATCCCCATTCATTTCGATGCCCACCTTGCTTCTGCCACCTCTACCTGCAAAAGAGCGGTTGGCAGGAGCTGTGTGTGCACTGGACGTTGCGTGCCGCCGGGCAAACCTTCAAGGAAGGCGTGAGCTGCCTGCGGAGGCTCATGGCATTGAGGGCCTCTGCTATGTCCGAGCGGTGGGCAACTTTCCTGATCGAGGAGGGGAAGGCTAAGGGTTCCGTGGTTCGCGGAGTGTTCAGTTGGAATACCTGAGCCTCAGAATACTTTTGAGATTCTACTTCCAAAATTTGTAAGATAACTTCCACACAGAATACAGCTCTTCTTGATTTAGATTGGATGCACAGTGCCGGGATGTTGATTTATGGGTGAAGTGAGTTGGTGGGGCTTGAAGGTGGCCAGGCGTGGCCGGTAGGGCCACCCTGAACTGAGTGGTTGGAGGTGGGTCATCTCCCCAAATCTGACCGGTGATGTTCTGTTTCATGCCCATCCTTGCCAGTAGCTCGTTCTGTTTCTGTAAAGAAGCAGCTTCTCAGAGTGATACTCGGGATTTTGTGGTACATGTGTAGAGGAGGGTATCCACAGATGTCTACGGTTCCTTAGACAATCTTTGATGTCTTGGCAAAGCGTTACGCTTGTTCACCCTTTACAATGGCCCTGGACCTTGCAGGTGAGCCTGCGGGCTCTTCGCCTGCCGTTGGGGCTTCTCTGTTTACTTCTTTTGTTCCAGGGTTGCACGCCGGCTGATGTTCCTGTAGACAAACCCCATCAAATGCATCATTAGAATTTCCTTTTAAGTGAGCCAGGCTTTCTCACTTAATTACTTGGTTTTCTGGCGAGCACGCCAACGTCCGAACGAGCAAGCGAGCGATACAACATTATATACGACCTGCTTTCCTATGACCATCGGACTCATGGGGCCAGGCACGGTGTCTCCAGGTGTTCTCTTCCCAGACTCCAAGACCCTCACCTGGCATGTTCGTTCGCAGCTTCGTCACCTCGGTCCTGAGGATCTAGGCCGCTTCAAGCGGATCACCTACGACGTGCTCTGCCAGAACACGTCTGCACGCGCGGACCGGCGCCGCGAACTTCATGGAGGCGACATCGAAGGGATGGTTTTGGGAGCAACAAGAGAGAGAGAGAGAGAGAGAGACTAATAGAGATGGCCTCCAACCTACTAGCGATGGCCTCCACCCTAGTAGCAATGGCCTCCAACCTAAAAGACCGAGAGAGAGAGAGAGAGAGAGATTCTTGCCAATTCTTGCTAGGGATTGCTTTAGGTGGATCGCCACCTACAGCAAACCACACATGGTTTACTAAGAGATCGTAGTCGGGAAAATGCAGGATTTGTCTTCCTGAGCTTGTGAGGAACCGTGCAACGCACTGGAGGTTTTTTTGTGAGCCAAAACAAGGAGCGTGTGCCACCAATCTGTGGTCCTGATCAATGGAATGTCCTCCTCCATGAAATGAAAACAAAGGAATTGCATATCATCACACTCCCCCTGGCCACATCGTGGACTATACAACAAATGCCTTCATGGTTCAAAAGTCAAAAGGTTTTGAGGAGGTTCCCTCAAGTTGAAGCAAACTGTCATAAACGTCCCCAAGAAATAGACGGCGACAAAGGCATGAGGCGCTGGATTCAAACATGAAGAGATCACAAAAAGTACACGCAGGACTGGGATAGCAGCCACTGACCTGTCCTCAACTCGACCAACGAGATGAGCAGCGATGTACCACGGAAGAAAGACCAGATCCACACTGCCCTCCATATTGAGGGTGTGGTCCACCCTTGTTTCGTTCTTGCTTAAGCTTTTCACACGCAGTTTTTCTTGAAAATATACTTTATGTGTTCACATGTTTCATCACCATCATCACAGTTCAGTCATCCATCCACGCGGATTTCAATTTTTGGTTGTCTCTCTCTCTCTATGGACTTGGCACTCCAGGCGCTTGCCTCCTGCACGCTGGCACGCCCGCGCAGGCGTCGCGCCGCGCGCCAGTGGCGGGCCTGGCTTTTGCCGATTGTATCGGACCAGATCCAGGAGCGAAATCGAACCCGTCCAAAACGGTCACAAGACTACCACTGGAGACAGACACCCTGCATGCTTGGCCAAAACTGCCCTGTTGACCTGGATATTTGACCAGTTATGATCAGGTTTACAGTCAGGCAATTGGTTACTTGATGTTTATTCGATGGTGAATGTCCTCCTCGCAATGCCAAAATAGTTATGCATCGGTTGTCAGTTGCCACTGAGTGAGGATGGTCATCCAGGTGAAACAACATGAAACAACATGTTTTCCCCAGGATCTTCATCTTCCAGATGAACTGAGGGTAGGTGCATGTGTTTCACGTAATTACGTATAGCATCGTATAGCAGAGTCGCAGGGATGCACACTCGTTGGAGCCTGAGTATAGTGACAGTGAGTACTACACACAATATAGTATTATATAGTATATTATAATTGAACAATTCCATGCTTGTATATGCTTGTTTGTCCTTTCTTGGTCGTACTTCCGTTTGCAACGTCCGATTAGAGAATGAATATCTTTGATCTACAAGATCAAGTTGTGTGCCGGTGCGTTCAAGACAACAATACGTTGTTTCTCAAAAGCCGAAAACATATCCAGAAGACAATATGACAATATGCCAACATGTTTGTTCCAGAAGAGTTTACTCCTGAGCGATTCTCAATGGGCGCTCAGAGCTGACAGCGAGGACACTTCCAGCGGCGGCCGCTGTATCCCAATCAGAACCTGGGAAATGATAGACATCATGGATGTGACGTAAGTGGAGTTTCAAGGCAACTTCATGCCATGTCAGTTGATTTCAGAGTCTTTTCATGCAAGACATCACAAACAATTACATGACAGATGGACCATGACCTTGTTGGGAGTGACAGATCGAGAAGCGTTCGAGGAAGTGTTTGGTGGTGCTTGCTCGATGTGGAGGTCTTTCTTGTGGAGACATCCCTGGAGGCCTTGAGGAACACCGAAACAGCCAAAGTGGGCTGCTATACCATGGCAGATCGGTTGCCATCGTGGGAATCCCCGTGCTGACATCCGCGAGGTGAGTCGAAGGATCCCGCCGTACCTTTACTTCTTTGGGCATGTGCAATGTGACAAGACGTGCATCAATGTGCAACAGAAAGCCCGTCCTAGCCTCTTGTGGAAAGACTTTGAGGAGGAAAACGAGAAGATTCTTCCTCCCAATGGGGATTCTCCATGAGTCTCAAACTGTTTGCTGTTTGTTGGAGTGGGGGTTAATGATCCCTGACAGACATTATTCCCTAGAGTGACGGGAAAACATGTGTCTCAGTATCTCGTGTATAGTCTTCTCACACCTCCCTTCTGACACTTTTCAAGGTTCAAATGATTCAAGCAATTCCAGCAGTAGGTTCAACTTAAGCAACTAGTAACTATATATACAGACTACACATGTATCTATGCATCATTGTGTCAATTGGCCATGTCTGCCACCAGTCACTCGCAGGGCTGTCGTGCACTTCCATTCGTCCGAAGGCCATTTCGCGACTCGAGGCATCGCAGGAAAAAGGCCGCCTGGTCCGCAGGGTCGGACACCTTGGTAGGTGTTTTGTGATTGGTAGCGGAGCCGGTCGAAAGGGACCGGCTCCGGGTAGGATCCCTGAGTTGCGCCATGTCTGCCGCTGCTCCTTTCGACCCTGGAGGTGGAAACAATAGGGTATTCACTGGTGATGATGAAGATGCCAAGGAATATCGGAGATGGAAGATTTGGACTGCCAACAGGTTGCTGACGCTCAGCGACAAAGTGCCCGCCACGGCTCGTGGCGCCTACGTATACACGTTGTTGGGTGGAAAGGCCTTGGAGGCCGTGGAGCATTTGGAACCATCCTCCTATCAGAAGGAGGGTGGCGAGAAGGTGCTGTTCGAACTCCTGGATCGTCGTTTTCCTCAAAAGGAGGCTTCGGATGAGCTCAGCGAGAACTTGACCCGGATCTTCGAGCTACGAGCTCACGAAGGAGAATCCCTCAAGTCATGGGTCAGTCGAGCTTCAGAGGCTTTTGACAACCTGCAGCGCAAGACGAACGTCTCCTTTCCGGAGGAGGCTAGAGGATGGCTCATCCTCCATCGTTCAGGCCTCAATGCTGAACAGGTTGCCGTCGTTTTGGCCAGATCGCTGGGAGTGCTTAAGCGTGAAGAAGTTGGAAAGGCAATGCGTAGCTGTTATCCCAATTTTTCCGCGCCCAAGCGCCGTGTTGCAAGCGCTGCCCTGGTTTCCGAAGAAACCCTGCTGGCTGATATGTTGGAGGATGACGAGAACGGTCAGGACCCGTCGTTTGAGGACGTTGAACTCCTGTTGGCTGATGACACTACGGCCGATGATGGAGAACCCGATGACGTGTTTGACGAACGTGACATCAAGGAGACCTTGGCTGTCACTTGGCAGGAGAAACGGAAAAGCCTGGCTCGATTGCAGAAGGATCGCAAGTTCCATGATGCTGGCCACCTTCGACGACAGTTCAGAGTTGAAGTGGAGGAGCTCAAACGTCGTACAAGATGCCACAAGTGTGGCCAGGTGGGACACTGGTCCAAAGAGTGCCGCAATTCGAGCAAGGGCTCAAAAGGAAAAGGCAAAGGTCATGGTAAAGCCCCAGCAACCTCCAGTGAGTCGGGAGCTGCTCTGGTCGAACATTTTGTTGCCATGGTGATTCCAGAGTTGACATTGCTTCAACGTGTACGAGCTCTTCATTCTCCACTCGCTAGAGAACCTCCTCAGGAGCTGCTCTTAGTGTCCAGTCCAGGATATGGTATCCTGGATTCTGGGTGTGGTCGTTCCATTGTGGGAGAGGATACACTGAGCGAGTTCCGTGAGTTGTGGAAAGCCCATGGTTTTGTTGACCCTGAGCCTATTCAAGAGCTGAACCATTTCCGGTTTGGGAATGGTGCCCAGGAAACTTCGCATCAAGTGATCCCCATGCCGGTCGTGTTGGGAGGTCGTTCGGGAGTGATCAAAGCAGCCCTTGTGAAAGGTCGTGCTCCCCTGTTGATCTCTCGGAAAGCCCTGATGACGCTTCAGGCCAAGATTGACTTTCAGAAGGCCGAACTCACCCTCTTTTCGGATGAAGTCAAAGTTCCTCTTCAGACCAACACCGCTGGCCAGTTCATTGTAAACCTGTTGGGTGACAAGACTCCTCATGAAGCATCCTTTGAGGAAGTCATGGAGACACATGTAGTGCCACCGGCTGAGCAGCCGTCTCTTGATGCCCCGGAGTCTGATCCACCGACAGCTGATCAGACGCCCATGGATGAGCCTCTCACCTCAGGACACCTGTCGATTTGGTCTCGTATCGACGATGGATTGAAATTTGCACCACTCTCCGGTAAGCAAGGTCCTAGTTGGAGCCAGGTCGTCCGTCGCCGGGTCACCGATTTCGTGTCTGGAGAAGTCATTCTTGATCAACAGATAGAACACCATAAGGGCAAGAACCAATATCACACGTTGATTCCACCACAGCACGTTCGAGTGAAGACCGAGTTCTTTTTCCGGCCACAGGAGAAGATGTGCCCTACTGAGTGTCTGCCGGTTCATCACCTGCGACAACTGAGATCTCAGGTGAAGTGCACGAACGCATGTCCAGCTACCATGATCAAGGGTCGCCGATTCGTTGTAGCCGAAGTTTTCAGTCCACCTCGATTTGCACCTGTCGCCCAAGAGTTTGGTTTCCACGCGACATCATATGATCTGATAACCGGATATGACTTTACTAAGAAAGAGCATCGCGACTTGGTCCAAGAAGAGCTGGACATCTCACCACCCGACCTGTTGGTCCTGTGTCCGCCTTGCACTCATGAGGGAGGATGGTGGCATCTCAATGCCGCTAAGCTGCCTCCGCACCTAGTTCTGAAGCTGAGGATGCGAAGCCGGATGTTCATCAAGTTTTGTCTGGAGCTGTTTGAACAACAGGTGTCTAAGGGTAGATTCGCTATGTTCGAGCACCCCCTTGGATCTCAAGTTTGGACTCTACCTGACATGAAGAAGCTGTTGAACCGATTCTATTCGACCAAGTTACACATGTGTCGATATGGTATGAGGCTGCCCCACCATGATTGTTTCATCCGGAAACCCACACGTCTTTTGATCAGTCATCGGAACATGGAGTCTTTAGGGCTGGTTTGTCCAGGAAAGCAACATCGTCAACATGCATGTCATGATGTGATTGCCGGTTCAGCAGTTGGGGTGGGTTCCATTAGCAAGTTTGCAGGTCAATATCCCCCAGCTTTTGTTGAGAGTGTCCTTCGAACCATTCCTGCTTTTGCAAGGGTCTGGGAAGCATCCTTAGTGCAGTGTGGAGATGAATCGTTCTCACACGTGGTTGAAGAATGCCTGGCGGCCCACCGCGAGGATCTGACACAACCGGAGGTCGAGGACGCTCGAGTGAATGGTGCCCTGATGAAATTACACAAGAACCTAGGACACCCGTCCAACACTGACTTGGTTCGAATCCTTCGTCATGGTCAGGCTTCGCAGAAGGCCATAGCCATGGCCCGGGATCTGGTGTGCGATTTTTGCAAGGCGCACATCAAGCCTCATGTGCCGCTTCCAGCACAGTCAGGTCGCATCACTCAGTTCAACCAGTTAGTCGGGGTGGACGTGAAGTACCTCCCAGGTTGGTTGCCTAACCAAAAGATCAAGTCTGTTAACATGGTTGATCAGGGGTCGTGCTTTCAACAGATTGTTCCCTTCTTTGAGCAAGAGACATCAATGTTGATTGGCAAGATCTTTGCCGAAGCCTGGGTCCGCTGGGCCGGACCTCCGGAGTCTGTGATCGTCGATCCTGCACAAACCATGTTAGGTGAAGCATTCCAATCGTATCTAGAGTCCATGGGAACCCACTGCAAGGTCATTGCTGCCGAAGCACACTGGCAATTAGGACGCACTGAGAATCATGGAGGTTGGTTTGGTAGGATTCTGCAAAAGATGATTGATGAACATTCGCCCTCAAACAAAGAAGAATGGTTGGAGTGTGTTCGCCATGCACATGTGAAAAACCAGTCCATTCAGTCGTATGGATTTACACCATTTCAACATGTGTTCGGCAAGAATCCAAACCTTCCTGGGGACTTGATGTCCGAACCTCTTCTCATTGTTCCGGCCACCGTGGGTCTTCATGAGGAAGCCATAGCTCGCGCACAAGCGCTGCGTCGGTCGGCTCGCATGGCCGTAGTAGCTCTCCAGGATGACAAAGCAGTTCGCGCTGCCATGTCCGGTCGCCCTAGGATGGTCATGGAATTCAAAGCCGGTGAACTGGTTGCATATTGGCGTCAACAGAAGGTCATTCAGGGGACGGTTCAACAAGGGGGTAGATGGCATGGCACCGCAGTTGTCATCGGCATGGTAGGCAGAAATGTGATTGTCGCCCACCGGAAACAGATTTTTAGGTGTGCCCCTGAACAACTCCGACCGGCAACCTCCGAAGAGCGTACCATGATTGAATCGCCTGAAGCTGAATTGTTAGGTATCAAGGACTTGATTGAGGGGGGAACTTTCAAAAGCAAGCAGTATATAGATCTAGTGCCGTCCGAATATCCTCCTTGTGGGGTTGAGCTGCCGGACCCATCAGGGCGTCCTGTGGCGTCTCAAGTGCACGAGCCGGCTGAGCCGAGCCAAGATCCTGGTCCCTTCGAGATCTCTTCTCCGGGAAGCAATGTAGACATGCATGTCACAAAACCGCATGATGCCGAGCATGAGCCAGAATCTCAGGTCAAAGACCGTGCAATTGAGCCATATGTGAATCCTAAGTCCCTACCATATGTCCCGGAAGAGGAATCCTCGTATGGTCCAGTGCGGCGTAGAGTCTCCACCAAGTCTCAATCGTCTTCACTGTTTCGGCCACCAGCGATGCTAGCGGATGATTTTTCAGAGTTGATGAAAGACCTCGTGCCATCCCTTATCGAGAATGCCATTTCGAGTGAACAGGGAACATCAAGCAGTTCCGCTTCATCCGCGGCCGGAGTCAAGCGTGATCGTGAAGACGATGTGACACCCATTGAAGAACCACCGGCTCAACGTGCACGGAATGTGGATTCGGAAGTGCTGTCGATCGAGGAAGTCGCCGAAGCTTGGAATGATGGCATTGAAACCCTCATTGCTGCTCACATCCAAAAGAAGCTCAGTAAAGAACTCCCTCCTCATGGCAACCCACCAGAACTTCAAGCTTTGGTGGATGAATCCAAGGTAGCTGAATGGGGAACCCTCGAAGAAAAAACCGCCATCAAGATCCATTATGGGAAAAAGGCACAAGAGTTGAAGCGTCGCTTTCCAGATAGGTTTATTGGATCTCGGTTCGTAATCATTAGAAAGGCGGCTGAAGAGGGGATCGCCATCGATCCTCTCAATCCCTCGACCTACCGTGTGAAGAGTCGTTGGTGTCTTCAGGGCCATTTGGACCCAGATCTCGATGAGAAGGCTTCAACCGGATTGCTTCAGTCTCCCACCTTGTCCCAGATGAGCCGTATGCTAATCATGCAAGTGTTAGCCTCGCATGGGTGGGTCCTTCAGCTCGGAGACATAAAAGGCGCCTTCATGGAGGCCGGTGAACTTCCTCAGAAATTCAGGCCTCTATTTGCATCCATGCCCAAAGGTGGAATCCCCGGAGTGCCAGCAGATGCCGTGATAGAGGTGATTGGAAACGTCTACGGCCAGAATGACGCGCCAAGCGCGTGGTACCGCACGTTCGATTCTGAGGCTCAACAGGCGGGTTGGGTCAAGTCAAAATTTGATTCTTGCCTCTATACCCTTAGAGATCCAAAGAACGATTCCTTGTGTGGTGTCATGGGAGTGCATGTTGATGATACCGCCGTAGGTGGTTCAGGTCCCCTGTTCGATTCGGCTGTTCAGAAACTGAAGGCTCGATTTCCCTACCGAAAGTGGCGTATGGGGGAAGGTGAGTTCTGTGGTGCATACTACCGACAGGATCCCAACACCAAGGGTATTTCGATGTCTCAACAGCAATTTGCCGAGTCCATGCGTAGTGCCTCAATCCCAAAGGGAGCTGGAAATCAAGCTCTGTTGACAGAGAGCCAGGTCAGGTTGCTGCGAGGAATAAACGGTAGCCTCAACTGGCTTTCTTCTCAATCTCGACCTGATCTTGCAGTCCAGACAAGTCTAAGTCAGCAGTGTTTCCCGAAACCGACCATTCGTCATCTGAGAGATGCCAACAATGCTATCCGACGGGCAAAACAACATAAAGACTTGTGCATCTATTTTGCTCCTGTTCCTCCCTGTGATCTGACCCTGTGCTGTCATTCCGACGCGGCTTTTGCCAATGTTGGTGCTCACACCCAAGCCGGGTATGTGATAGCGTTTTGCAATCAAAACCTCAACGAGGGACAAGTCTCCTCGTGGTCTCCGGCCGTGTGGAAGAGCTACAAGCTCAGCAGGGCGGTCAGTTCGACGCTCGGAGGAGAAGCCCAAGCCATGTCTGCAGCTTCGGGTACAGTGGAATGGGTGTGTTTGTTGCTAGCTGAAACCTTGGATGGTCCCTTTCAACCATTAGAGAGTAGACAGATCATGAGTAGGCGACCCCCAATCCTCATGACAGACTGTAAGTCTCTGTATGATCATCTGATTAGCCCATCAGCCCCCACAGCAATTGAAGATCGTAGAACCAGCATCGATGTAGTTATCATCAGAGAGTCTCTTAAAAACACCCAAGGTATCATCCGATGGCTCCCTACTGATAGAATGTTGGCAGATGCTTTGACAAAAGACAAAGCGGACCCGGCCGATCTGCTGAGATCATGCATCCGCGCTGCCTGTTACCAGGTTTCTCCAGAAAGTCTGATCCTAGAGCAACAAGCCGAGGAAAGAAGGAGACGCCAGCAACTGCGCCAGTCCCAGGACCAGGATAACCCGGTCCTAAAGGATAATTAAGTTAGATGTAAAGATACAATACTTGCTAGAGTATCGGTGCTTGCAACATTCGTTGTTTCTCCCAACTGAGTGTCATTTGCTGTTTTTGGACGTGCTCGTTTTGTCTAGGGCCTGTTACTCAAGTGCCGAAGGGAAACTCTGTTCTCAAGTGATTGTGCACATCGTCTTGCATGTTTTTGACGTTAATGTATCGCTCGTAGCTGTTCTTCGAAGCTCAAGGGTGTGTTTCGAAATCTCGTGACCCACTGTGACTGAGGGCCATGCCATTGAATGAGGCTGAGAGTCGCCAGCTCCAACTTCTGTTGGCCAAAGCGAACGAACCCAATGTCGGAGCCGAGGATGGTGATTTCACCCTCGTGCAAGGTGAAGTCAACCGTGGTTGGGGAGCCATGACTGATGGTTCCAAGCGCCGTGAGGAGTCCAATTCCGGAGAACCAGTCCTCAAGCGTGCTGACAAGAAAGCCCCTTCTGGCTATTCGATGTCACCCGGCATGTCACCTCCATGGAAGTTAGCCCCTGATGGCCCGATGAGCTCAATGGATGATCCTGATCTTCCTCACGAGACCGGTGAGAGTGTTCAGAGTGAAGGCAAGATCCTGACTTTGCCTCAGGGAGTGTCCAGCGTTGAAGTATGGGGGAAAACCCTCATCACCTGCGGTCGCTTCAAGGGAGCCAACATGTCATATGAAGAATTGTGGTCCAATACAGATCCATCCGTTGTGCAGTATAAGCAGTGGTGTTGCGCGCGTGCCTTTTCGTTGACCGGCACCATGCGCGACATGTCCCAATATTTGCTTTTCATGAATGGCAAGAGCTCGAGCTCCCAGTTCTCGGATGGTCCAATCATTCCGGGATCGGACGTCCGCCGTCAATACAAGACGGCAAAGTGAAGTGCTCGTTTTGCATCTAAGCCCAACTAGAGCAGCTCCTTTAGAACATAGAAAATATAGAATATAAGCAGTGTCAATTGGCCATGTCTGCCACCAGTCACTCGCAGGGCTGTCGTGCACTTCCATTCGTCCGAAGGCCATTTCGCGACTCGAGGCATCGCAGGAAAAAGGCCGCCTGGTCCGCAGGGTCGGACACCTTGGTAGGTGTTTTGTGAATTGTATTTACATTAAACCCCTTTATGTGTGTTCCTTGCCTGTTTTGGACCTTGCCAGATTTTGCTCATGGTCACTGTTGTGGACCTTGCCTGTTGCCTCACAAAACGCGGCCGAGCGGGTCGACCCGTCGTCTCTTCCAGGTGAGGTCGCCGTGCTGGCGCATCTGCGGCGTCTCTTCCAGCGCACGCGGCGCTACCACGACATCCAAGGCGGACTTCTCGGTGTTTGTGTGGTTGGATTGGGAGAGGTGCAACAAAAAGAGGTCCCAATGATTAGATGTTATATGTATTTAGTTATAGTTATATTATATCTGATTTTATCTTATATACAGAAAAGATCCCCAAACATGTACAGCACGGTTTGCTGGGAAATGAGCTTCAACATACTTTCTATGAGCCTTTGCAGCCTCTGGAGGCTGAGCTTGTCTTTCTGCCACCGCTTGTCTCACTATTACACCCCAAGCAAACCATGGCTCTTGAGGATGAGCAAAAGATGTCTGGCAACGTCCAGCAGACCGTTCCATTTCCGTCTGCGCAGGCGTTGAGTTGGCGTTGTTGGATCATTTCCAGTTGGACCTCTCCCAAATCGAGTGCGAGGCCAAGGAACTGGCCCGAGCTGCTTGGATGAACTTGTGGAGAAATGAACAGCAAATCAGAAGTTCTATACACATTGAATGTATGGTTTTCCTCGCAACTCAGTTGGGTAGGCCCATTTGTGTATGTCTCTTCTTGTCACGTGCAGAGGAAGGGGGATCATTTGGAGCTGCTGCTGCTGTAGTTTCCTGTCACTCAAGACATGCAAAAGGAGCAGCTGGCGCCAACCCTAAAGATAGGCTAGATCGCACTCATGTATTTGCATGCATGTGGCTGTGTTTGGAACAACTTCGCTAGCAGAGGTCTTGCTGGGAGAGATTGGCAAGGTGGATCAGGCGGGATTAGTTTCTCGAAGATGACAAAACATTGGCTTCTCAACTTTATTCATAGGCCTTGTAATCAACCCGCTCCCCAATTCAAATTGGATCAGGTCTCGAGGCTCATCACGGTGCGTGCAAATCTTCAGATCCCTAAAAGTCCGACAATTCACATCGATCCACAAACCATCCTCTCAAAATCCTCAGTCCCCACACTTCGACATGGAAAACCCACGCTTGTTGTCGTCACATGTAGGAAACCGAAGCCTCACATTCACCAGATAGAAGCACCACCATCACCACCATCACCCCAGCTTCAAGTTCAGAAGAGTTTGGAGCTCAGCTGCAGCTGCTGGTGGCCCTGCTGCGGCGCAAGAACTGCCGCTGGTGGCAGCTCACACCGGAGCAGCTGAAGACGATGGAGGAGGCGAGTCGGTGAGTGACCGACCTGCGAACCGTGGAGGTTTGGTCGATGGGGGCAGCTTTTTGGGAGCATCAGCTAACATCGCAGAATGGCATGAGAGCTTGTTGATTGATGTTGTGGAATGTACGTAGGGTTTTGCAGAAGATCACAATGTGTGTACAGGGGTTTGTGCATCTACGATGATTAAGGAGGAATGAAGATGCATTCCTTGAGAGGAGGAAGTGGCTTAGGTCAGCATTCCAATTCTGAGGTTGTCTCTCTAAGTGGTCAGACTGAGAATTCTGGCTATTCGTCTGAACTAGTTCGACTTGTTCATTGGATATTGTCCAAGCGACAGGTGCAGAAAACATATGAAAACTCTGAGAGTCTAATCATATTGCCTGGAAAAGAAGGAGTGGCGCAGTCCAACCCCTCAAAGAAGAACATTTTTCTGCAGATCTCTCATCTCTCTCGAACAATTTTTGAAATCTCCGAGTTTGAAGGCCACTGTGGGGGTGAGAGCAAGAGGTGGTTTGTAGAAGACGGGTGACGGTTCTCAGACCTATATGGCTTCTTTTGTTCTTTGCATTCTCGTGTGCTTGAGGGGGTTTGGAGCCTCCATTGGGGCTCTTCGACCTGAGAGATTTACTTTGGGGCTCTTGGCTTCAGCCATTTGTATATCAAGGATTTGCAACAGTTGGAAATATATAATGTGACCAGGTCTTGAAGCGTCAGAAGCGCGCGGAGCTCTTCGCAGAGTTTGATGCCTGGGCGCACCCTGAGAAGCCCCTCGGCGAAGACATTATATATTTATATATAATGTGGAAGAGGTTCGGGGGACAATTCCCTACTTCGTCGCTTAGCCTCCCAAAGATCCTGGTAGAAGCTATCATGAATGGTTTTGGTGAGACGCGGGTGCAATAAACGCATATAAGCGCAATTGCATATGTTCTGTACTTCCCTGCTTCAAGGGCTGTTGGAATTAGAACCTTCTCCAAGATCTCACAATTTGAGTTTTGCAGTTCAGAACTGGCTACCGGATGGTAGCCGTATAGCCGTCTCCACCGTCTCCACTGGCAATGTTTAGATGTTTGCTCCGCACATTTGTGAGACCGGATGAGCTGTCACAGGTTCAGTGAAGAAGAAGTGCTGAGCCACATCCATCGGTGCACCGTGAAAGGACGGGCGTGGGATGAGAATGCATGGACCAATTTGTAGGTGCAGTGGAGGATACTGGAGCTATGGGTGTATTCACGAGGAGGCAAGGCACTAGGATGGTGATTGCACACCGTTGTGCCTTGGCCCTGGAAGACTAGAGTCACTAGAGGCTTGGTCTTGGTGTCATGATAGACTGCAAGGGCCTAGGTCGGCATCATGAATTTTGGCGGTGGTGTTCCTGACCCTTGAGCTTGTTTGGACATAAGGTGAACTCAAAGTGGAGTACCATGGATGGTGTGTTCATCCATGTTCAGACCATGTGTTTCTTCAAGTCCTTAAGTTATTCTTTCGTAAGTTTTGCGCTTTGTTATTCTTGCAAGCAACTGTTTAACCCTGGTGTCCATCGATCGGATTGGTTGAACAGTTCTTGCACCAACTGCAAGCGCAATCCCCTTTTCTTAGATGATGGCTTCTGGGATCTCACGACCTCACTCCCAGTAAGATACCTACAAGGCACCGTCACTTCCATGCGATCTGCCAGGCACGTCTTTCGCACAAATCCTGTCCAGCCTGGAGTGTCCCGGAGTCATTTAGTGAACAGAAAACGTGAAGCCATGCCATTGTCATGAGCTCTTCCCACACTTCTCACCATTCTTTTCGTTGGTTCAACAATTTGTGAACTAGAGGGCGGTTGCTGATTGTTGTTTTTTATGTTTCTTCGTTGAACATCCTGGTCCACCCGACTGCCATAGGCTACCGGTACCGGCGATTTCCTGCAGGAAATCACAATTGACAATGATTGTGTGAGGCCGTCGCACTCACCAAATGCAAGCAGTTTCTCCACTTCCACAATCTCCTCTTAGCAAACATCTAACCCAGGCATTGGCAGCTCGCTGCTCGCTTGGATCCATCCAGTGCCTTGCGCTGCGCGGTGGCCTGGCTGAGGACGCGCCACGCCTTCGCCCAGGCGGTGGTGCTCTTCAAACATCTGGAGCTGTGGCGTTCCGAGGCGAGGAGGGCGGGGCTGATGGTGTGGTGGGGCTTTGGCAGGTCAGGTGGGGGGGAGGGTTTGGAATCAATTTCAAGTGAATCCATAAGTCCTAGGTCCTACATAGTCCTACTATACTGCAATGGTGCGATGGTTTGTGCCTTTTGTTGGCCAGAGCAATTGGATCATGCAGGTTCAGAAGTTCATTGCCAAAAGCACACATGTGATGGATTTCCCAAGACCTCTAAAAGTCCTAAAGAACATGAAAGGATCTCACCACTAAGGGCCATGTGCGTGTTGCGTTGGACACGGAAACCAGAACTTTCGATGCGCCATGAAATTCTGAGCGCTCCTTCGTCCAAGCCCATCATGACTTCAGTTGTGTCCCGGCTGGCCCTCTTTCCTGCGCTTCTTCTGCAAAGCATGCTGGCAGGTGAGCTCGCATGGCCGGATTTGTGACATGAAAGGAGTCTTTTTTTTTTTGTGTGTGTGTGTAACCTTTGGAGTCAAAAGGTTCCTGTTGGAATGTTTCCTTTTTTAAGCAGGGGGCTCTCGAAGCCTGCATGAGACGAGAGCCAACGAAGACTCTCACGCAGTGCTTGTGCAAACGTACCTGCTTGGTGCACCTGGGCGCGTAGTAAGACGCAGCTGGTGGCCACCTTTTCCATTTTAATTCTGCAGATGTGCACGGACCGTCGTCACCCTGATCGCTTCACATTCGTCCATTGGGTCTCTTGCGCTTTTGGCCTCACTTCCTTTTGAAGACCCCTAGGTTCCGTTGGGCTTCTCCTGATCTCTTCAGGATTTTGGTAACCCTAGGTTGCCGTGTGGCGAGCGGCATTCGAGTCAGTACGCATTTCTATAAGTGTGTGTGTGTGTGTGTGGGGCTCTCCATGTGGGCACAGGTTTGCCTTCATTTCCACACGGAAGTGGCCAGTTCACCGCGTAGTCAAGATATCAAGATTAATTACCGTTCATGGGCTGCAACAAGCAAGGCTACTACACAACAAAAAACTATGCATCAAAGCCCAAAGCACACTGCCAAGATGTGCTTGTTCATCGCAATCGCATGTTGTCGCTATTCTTGGGCACCTTCAGTTGATCGAGTGTGAGTGTGAACCACAAAGATCTGGACACAGGCCACAGAGCTCATTTTGTGGCTCGCTCCACCCTTCAGCTTCGGACCACTGCGAAGCCCGTTTGGGGCCGGTCTATGGCACAGAAAACCACAGAAATGAACGTGGCATCACTCCCTGATAAGTGCAGCAAACGAAGTTGGCCTCAATTGTACCAAGCTTTCGCAATACACCCGGGGACTGTGGCCGCAATCTGGTGGATTTGAATATGGATTCTCGACTGCCCAGTGAAGAGTGGCATGATGTTGATGTGTTCTGTTGCAAAGAGACTCAGAGAGATCCGCGGTTTTCATGCAGACTTGCCTAGAGTCAAGCGCCGAAGAGTGTGGGGTGGTTTACAGTAGTTAAGTAGTTAGTATATAATTAGATGTAATTAGCAACTATAACAACAACTGCTACAGATTTAAGCTAAACTTTGCAGACTATGTGTTTTCAACATTTTTCGTGCAGCACTGGCAACCTTTTGCAGACATTGGCTTTTTGATTTGACCTAAATCAGGGCGGCACTCGATTCGCTCATGACCAACTTGCCAATGAAGTCCACTATATATATATCCTATGCCGCATGCCTATAGCTGCGCTAGCTATGATCCTATCGTGAAAACTTTATTGTCAGGAGTTTATCATGTTTGTGGGTGTTGACTGCTTACCCGTTTGCCATTCACATCATCTTATATATAATACCCACGCATCCATGCTTTTCACCCAAAGGTGGCTGCTCATTGCTGATACGATAGTTTACATACCTGATATATACTCTTGGGCAGCACCCTTGAACCATGACATACCATGACTCATCATGTTTATGTTGAATATTTCTGGAGGTGCACCTGGATGCTTTCGAGTTGGAAGCGCTACTGGCGCTGCAACGCTTGGTGCGCACGGACCGCCGGCAGCTGGCAGCCGCGCTGGCCGCGCTCCATGCAGCAGCGGGGACACCACTGGGGCAGCCGCCAAGGGCGTGGGCCTGGGCGGCCAAGGCCATGAGCAGCGGTAGCAAGGTGGGGATGGATGGATGGATGGATGGATGGGACCAGGTGAATCAATGGACATCGCGCATCACCGGCCACCCTTTGTGGAAGATGGATAGGGCCCGGGTGCTGCAGCACTTGGGAGTTCTCCGGGGGGTTGGAAGTTGGCAGCCAGGGCCCCATCCATTGGCCGGCCTGGGCGCGGACCATGGAGAAGGGCGCCGGGAAGGTCTTGGGCCTTGGCGTCCCGTGGAGGCTGATCAGGTCCTTCGGCAAAGATGGGCGTACTTTGTCGGTTTCGTTGATCGACTCCGAAGCCCTGAAAGTAGCAGAATGCCCCTAGTAACTAGTAGCTTCTTGCTCTTAGTAGTGATGCCGGAGCCCCTAGTAGCTTCTTGCTAGTCAGAATGTTTCTTTCATTTTCTTTCAGGCGGCCATTTCAATTGAACCAAGACCGAAGACGTAAGTGCAATTGGATGCAATAGGTCTATGGCATTCTATGGCGGTCTCCAAACAGATAGACCAAATCTCTACCAAATGGTGCGGGTTTACTGATCGAGCATTCTGCATCTCAGGTCGGCACGAGAAATGGAGGAGTCTCTTGAGGCGTGTCACAGAAGCGGCAAACAAGCGGTCTCCGACTTGTTCCAGCACGGCGGTCGCAAAAAATCCAAAGAACCGAAAATACTGGCGGTAACCATGTGTAAATAGTGAGGTTGGCCGCTTGTGTTTCAGGTGTTGCCGGAATGTGCCAGATTTCTTCATATGACATGTTCATCCTCCAACAAAAGCACTTTCCCAGTGCAACAGCTCACCCAAGTGGTTTGACAATCCAAGAGAGCTTACTTTCTTCATGGGGAGATGCAGTGGCATTCTTGAGAATGATGGTGTGAAGTCAGTCACACACCGAGATTTGAAACAGTTGGGCGGATTTCAATCAAAGTACAGTCTTGAAAAATAATATGTACAAGATATATATATATATATGTTGTTCAGGCAGAACATTTGGGACTGATTGGGATTTGAGTGCTCAATAATTGAACTGATGCAAGGATATTTGGTTTATGGGACTGGTGGTACTGGTGCTTTGGGAGAGTTCTTCTTTAGATTTCGATGAACATCACACAAGTCTTCAACGGAGATGGGCCTAATTTGAGGCACACACGTTTTGCATGCAACACCTACAGTATCTCTCATATCCCTTTCAAGCCCCGAGCACGCTCCACCATCGTCACAACCTCGAGAAGGACCCTTTGCATCCTCCAAGCGCAGGTCTTGAGCGCAAGTTCTATCCTGGGTGTCCCGGATCAGCAACGGTCAGCGCAGGTTTGGAGTGTTTTGGAAGACTTGGAAGCCTTGAAAGTCATGATGTCACGATGTTTTTCAGAGGTCCCACCCCTATAGAAATATGGAGGCGGATCAGGTCCCAATCTCCTCAAGTCTTGATGTTGACATTTGCTGTAGAAGGCTCCTCCCCCTCGACCCGGTTCCTTTTTCCACCATTCTCCTTGATTTGGTGGGTGAAACATCGACGTTTTGCATCAGATCTGGTTGTTCTATGTTGTTCTTTTTTCTCTATATCACTCTCTGCCGGAGTCCCCAGATCCACCCACAGAGGCATGGACGCCGAGTGGGCGCCGGATTCGTCCAGCGGTCTGGCGATCCTGCAACTGGCCACTTGGGAGGAAGTCCACATTTGGGACCTCCAGGACCGACCTTCCACGTTTGGGAACACTCAGCACGACGCGTGGCGAAGCAGCCGCGAAGCGGTGGTTGTGAACTCCTGCGTAGCGTGTGTAGTTGTAGTTGGCTGTTGTGAATCTCCAAGCAATCCTCCGCGTCATACCTCACAAGCCAGCTACAGTATGGGTTGAAAGTGAGTTCTTGGGAGACCCTCACAGCGCCAATGGACTTCAGACAAATCCCCAGTTTGGTCCAGGTTTGAGTTTGCCAAACTTTATCAACAACTTTCGTTGTAAAATGTTGTAAGGCGACACCCATCTGCAAAACCCGTCGAGGAGGGGCCCCCGGAGGCCTTCGGCCCACTGCTACAAAAGCTGCTAGGGTCCAATCGAGCACGAAAGCTGGGTTTCGGCTTCGCGATCTCAGCCACTCGACCGGTCTCAAGAAAGGAGGGTCGAGAAGATGTAAGCAGTGAGGACCTGACGAAGATAGGGCAACATCTAGGGGCAGTTTGATGCAAGCTTAGCCTGTTGGGCTATCAGAATTGCTTTTCTTTGGTTTGTTTGCGTCTTTCGATGTCTTTCGTTTGGAGCATGATCAAGGCTGCTGTGTGTGTGTGTGTGTCAACCCCTGTTCCAAAGGGTGCGACCTTCCTTCGAGACAAGCAGGGGGACGGGACACCACTGGCATTTCCCGTCCAACGAAGAGGATGCCAGTAGGTGCTGACGCAGTGGGGGACGCCCCACTGTGTACCTGTTCCATGAACTGTTGCTTAAGCTGTCCAATCTTTCCTTTTTGTTTCCATGGTGGTTCATGCTACTTCCCCTAAACCCTTTCCTTTGCCGCTCGCGCGCGCTGCTGTCGCACCACTGCAGATGAGAAACACTTCAATGTTAAAACACCTTCAAGTCTTTGGACCTTTCACCATGCCGTTCCTTCACCTTCCTTCTGAACGTGGGAATTGAACCAATGTCAAAGTGTGAGCCGCTCAGCCGTCCCACTTGGGTGCTGGGTGTGATCCTCCGCAAGGAGGCGCCGTTTTCATGCCGGAAATCATTGTTTCCATTTTTACAACTGAATTCACATTCTCCACTTGTATAACTGAATTAACTGATCCAACAGCCGTCGGGCTTAAAAACGAATTTGTCAGCCGCCGGGCTTAAAAACGGCACACACCCCCCCACTTGAGGCAGGTCTCCTGACCCCCCCCCCACTGTGTTCTACTCCCTACCTATTTTGGGTAACATAGGGAAATGGTACTCGACACACTTGAGTGTCGGTGCCTTTCCCTCTGTTGTCCCTTTTCTAGTCTACCCTACCCGGGCGGTTTAAGACTAAAGTCCCGCTCCCTAACTATTGCACTTAATTCGTTTCCGCTAAGTAGTCAGTAACTCTAGAGGGCTAAGTATTCAAACACACACATGAACGCACACCCCCACCCTGCCCCCCGCTTTCCTTCTTGCGCTTTTCGTCGTTTGTTGGGCTTTCTTTCAGGCTTTTTAGGTGGTTCTTGAGGCTCGTTTCCCTACCCCAGTCAAGGGCTAAGTATTCATTTTTCATTTTTCTACACCTATCGTTCTCTCTTGCCCTCTTAGCGCTGCTCTTTCTGTCTTTCTTTCTTTTGTTTCTAAGGCTTTTTAGGTATCTATTCAGGTTTCTCACGCGAGCGCCGCCAAGCGGCACCGTGTGTGTGTCAACCCCTGTTCCAAAGGGTGCGACCTTCCTTCGAGACAAGCAGGGGGACGGGACACCACTGGCATTTCCCGTCCAACGAAGAGGATGCCAGTAAGTGCTGATGCAGTGGGGGACGCCCCACTGTGTACCTGTTCCATGAACTGTTGCTTAAGCTGTCCAATCTTTCCTTTTTGTTTCCATGGTGGTTCATGCCACTTCCCCAAAACCCTTTCCTTTGCCGCTCGCGCGCGCTGCTGTCGCACCACTGCAGATGAGAAACACTTCAATGTTAAAACACCTTCAAGTCTTTGGCCCTTTCACCATGCCGTTCCTTCACCTTCCTTCTCAACGTGGGAATTGAGTTAACTGCAAACCAATGTCAAAGTGTGTGGTGAGTTCAAGACCTGACAAGAAAAGGCAGTGAAAAGTTTGTTGCAAGCACAGTCTTAAGCGGTCCAAATCCCTGAAGAAATGATTGCCAACCTCCTGAGTTCCAACCTCTCAGGTCGGACTTGTGACAACACTAACCCATGAACTCGGCACCAAACTTGTGCGGATGGCACGATTAAATCCCGGGCACCAAACAGAGAACATTCAATTGCTGTGAATGCTATCCATAGGGCTTCACGACAAATCTAGCACATTTGAAGATCACAGTGACCACATCGATGCATCATACTGAGCATCATTCTTTAACGTGACTGCTACGTTTTACAAGCTCAGGACTGGCCTCGCTTGAGCTCGCTCTTGGGATCAGACCCCTCACTTCTGCGGCTTGTGGATCTGGAGCGCTTGGAACCCACCAGCTCCGGACTGAAAGGCTTGGTGGCCAAGGCGCTGGGACACAAGCGCCTCGGTCGGAGGCAGTGGGGACACATCCCAGGTTCCTGATTCGAACGACCGCTTGGGCCAAGGCTTGGGAGCCAAATTTCTGTGAAGTTGGCGGTCCTGTGTCTCCAAAACATGCTTTCATTCCCCTTTTTTTGGGGAGGACTGGAGTGCTGCAGCCAGGTCACCTGGTTCTACAGCCCCACATATTTGCTGGGGGAACCACCCCCTCTCTCCATCACAACTATTCTTTCAGGATTTTTCAGGAGACCAATCGATCAGTACCAGGGAACAGCACGAAAACTGTTTTGCAAGATGCTTGAGCAACCGCCAAAACGTGCGATGACCAATTTAGTGAAGATCGGTTGTGAACTCTATAGCAGGAATTAGCTTAAGCCTGCAAAAACGGTAGAATATGTTCAGTTTTTTCGAAAGTGATGCGGTCTTGACCTGACAAAGCGATAGGCCCCGCTCAAAAGCGGGAATCTTGGGTGAATCATGTCCTGTTCGTTACAAGACGTTTTGGCAAACGCTCATATTTACTATATGTTTTTCGATGTCCTTGCTATGATCATTCCAAGAGTTTCCGGTCAGCCTGCACAGCCCACAGGATGGCATGAAAGTACAGGATGGCATGAAAGTCAAACAAAGCTTGTTTCGCCTGGGATTCCTAGCATGGGGGCATGAAACTCCTGGCCGGCCATCTAGGGTGGCTCAGCTTTGGCCCCAAACCGACTCGGGCGCCGACCAGGTTGGACAAGACCGAACAGAGCTCGGACTGGACGGCTCGTCCGCTCTCGGAGAGCCTGGGCGGAGTGGACTGAGGGGGTCCCAGAGACCTGACTGAGGACGTTGGGAAGTCCTTGGTTTACACATGTTTACACTGGTTTTACCAGGCAGAATCACATTGTTTGCTTTGGGCTTCGTGGTAGTGGGATTTCCTCCAACTGATCGCCAATTCATGCAAAGGAATGAACTATGTTTTACTAGTTGTTTTGCTATTTTTCTTTGAGGTCCCTCATTTCTAGAGATTCCAAACTTGTATGGGCTAAGGCTAAGCTCAAAGAGGACTTCTCCTCCGCTGGACGCATGATCGGACTGACAGCACCCCCAGTGCCTCACCCCAGTGGTTTGGCGTCCTGAGCCAAGGAAGCAACTGCAATATGCGGCCTTGGACGCGCACTGCTTGCTGCAAATCATGAAGCTTGGCATCTTCAGTGACTTGATGTGATTTTTTTGACCTCTGCTGGTGCCGTGGCCAGTTGCACATGGGTTTGTATGTGTTGAAACGATTCCAGTTTATGTAGAGGCGAAGCATACCTCCAAAATCCTCCAAAGCATACCGCATAGTCAAACATCCCGGCGCGGGAACGTCAAAGCAAATGCTCTCTCACACTTGGAGCAAGATTCCCCAAGGAGCTGATGCCAAATGAAGCATTCCAGCTCAAGAAACTGTGTTAAACTCAGAACGAGAAGTCTTAGGTATTCGCGCCACCCGGATATTGTGGAATGTGCCTTTAACGTTGCTTTTGGGCTGATGCGATGGCTTTCCAACTTGCCGTGACTCCTTTTTAGTTTGTTCAAGCAACATGGCTCACAGTTCTGGGCTAAACCCTCGCAAACCCACGATATCATAGGCTTCAGCCCGGCAGAACTTCATCCACAGGTCCTGTAAACAGTTAGGTGTTTGTTTGAAGCTTGCCAGTAGTATCTTGTAGTTCGGTAGTATCGATCCCCCAAAGACTCCAAAGGTACCCGTGTGTTGGGACTCGCTTGTTGGTGCTTTAGGCTGCTGTTAGGCCGCTAGGGCCCCCAAACTGACAGCTGCAAATTGTACCAAGTGACGAAGTCACTCCGGAGTCTTTGATGAAAGCGCTGAAACTATCTGAAACTACCCAGCAGCCAATCCAACATCATCAAAAAGCAGACACCCAACTAACCACCAAGCAGACCTCTCTTCACCTCCGCAGCAACCCTCCCAGCCTCTCTTCACGTTTGAGGAAAGCTTTGGCTCCCAAAGAAGAGGACCTGAAGTCCTTGGAAGTCGACCTCGATCAGAAGCGCCTGCAGTGCGTGGAGGAAACGGATGCACAGCTGCCAGGGGTGGAGCTACGAGTGGGGCAAGTGGAGGAGGTGCCTTGGTATGCAACAGCATGGAACTATATGGAACCGCTTGGTATATGACACACAGCTTCTGAAAGGGAACACTGTTGGATGTGGGGTCACTACATGTATTCATGCTGCGAATGTGTAATGGTCAAAGTTTGAAGGTCCGTTAGCATGTTTAAATCAATATGTCCAAGAAGCCTCACAAGAGAGGTCATGCAAGCGCTTGATAAATCGATGCAACTCTTTATATGACCGAGAACTGTTTGCCTGGTGCTAGAGCAAACACATACCATGAATCATGAAAAGTTGTCCCCTTGCCTTGGGTCTGTCCTATCCACTGCAACTGTCGGTAGAATCATTGTTTTGGTTTATAAGGCTATATTTATTCATATATATATATTATTGTTGATGCATGACCCCTGCACAAAGATGACACGCTTTTGCATGCTGCATGTCTTTGCAGCCCTTTTAGATGAAGTTGAGGTCAAGACACCTCAACGGGGCGAGAAGACCCCACCAAGACCACGAAGTCAGCAGAAAAGCAGAGCATCCTTTTTGCGTTGTCTTGAGGGTTGTTTTGAGAGGGTTTTACTTGGGTGAGGAACATGCCCGACCACCAACAGGTTATGAGCCCAACGTTGGAAGGTTCTTCTAATCCACACCCGTCTATGCTCCGGCGCCGTCGAATCATGGACCGTGACGATGGGCCGCTCGCTTTGCCACCTCCTGCTGATGTCCGCGAAGACTTGGAGGTGAAGCAACCAGCGGAAGAGCTCGAAGCTGGTGTAAAGGAAGAAGAAGCCAAAAAGGAATTCAGCACCCCGGCTCGCTCGACAACTGGGCTGGGGAATACAGGAACAGGGAAGACAGAAATAGAGGTGTTCAAGAGCGGTGGATCGAAAGAAAGTGTCGTTGAGGCCCCAAGAGGAAAGCCCATGACCTTGGCTCCGTTGGTTCCACCGGCACCTCAAACCATGCAGCCCTTGTTCTCCCAGGAGCAGATCCGTGAAGCTAAGGCATCTGCTCGACGAGCTCCACAACTTTTCGGCCCAGGTTTGATGCCGTCCTCTTCAGGTGATGATCGGCCGACTCAGGTGTCTCGCCCTGCCTTCCTGGAAGAAGAAGAAGAAAAAAGGGAAGGAAAAAGAGGAGGTAAGAAAGAAGGGTATAGAAGGGTGGTGGAGATGGAAGAAGAAGAAAGTGAGGAGCTAAGAAGATGTGAGGAAAGCTCCAACGACCCTCGAAGGACCCGTCGTGATCAAGAACGGGAAGACCAAGAGGAGGAAATCATGTGGCGCTGGCAGATCTCTCAGGATGTGCAACGGCTCACTGACCTTTGTCAGGCCCAACAACGTGAAAATGATCGCCTCCAGCAAGAGCTCTATGAATGGAGGATTGAAGGTGAAGACCGGAAGAGGTTGGAGGTTGAGGAAAAGAAGAAGAAGGAAAGGGAAGAAATGGAAAGGCCAAGAAGTGCCTCCAACTTCAACACCCCTGATGAAGAGGGGCCGAATGGGGTTCCAGGAGCCGACGACCTACATGCCCGAGGACGCACCCCGTGGTCGACCTACCCTGCACGCTATGGGGTCAAAGGTTCCAGGTCCCGCTCCAAAGAACAACAGAGAAAGGGTCGAAGTCCATCCTATGGAAAAGGGGAATTGAAGGGGCCTAGACCTACAACCGGGGGAGCCAAATTGTCCCCTGAAGTTCAACAGATGGAAGTGATGACACTTTTGGTGGAAAGTATGAAGTCCCTCCAACGACAGATCTCCGAGGGACAAGAAGCTCAAGGAACGGTGAAGGGGGTGGAGATTGTCCGGCAGGTGGCTGAACTACCTGTTCTACATCCTCTACATGGTTCCACCTCGCAGCTGCAGCTTGGTGATTGGCTGCTCCTTGTTCAGCCTGTGGTGGCTGACCTGACGACCACCTCTGACATTTGGTGGGATCGAATGATGACTGAGGTTGAGAAGTGGTACCAGGACCACCAAGCAATGGCTCCTTTGGAACGGGTCAAGCATGAACCTGTGCCGCCATCATCACTCAGTGTTCCGAAATGGGCGAAGCTCGAACGGCGAATGGCCACCCTGTTGCTGAAGGCAATTCCAGAAGTTCAGAAAGATGAACTGGTGGCTACAAAAAGATTGTCAGTCTTCGCCATCCTCGCCCATCTTCACGTCACCTACTGTCCTGGTGGCATAAGCGAGAAACAAATGCTCCTGCGGAACCTTGAAGATCCAACGGAACCAGGAAAAAATCTGCACGACACGGTGGTTGGCCTCCGTCGATGGCTTCGCTGGCGTGCAAGGGCTCAGGAGATTGGAGCCACCGAACCCGACCCGTCCATTCTGGTCAAGGGTCTGAATCGCTTGACGAAGCGAGTTTTGGATGCCAATGAAGGTCTACGGTTCCGGGTGTCTCTTGCTCGGAATGCCCTCCAAGTTGACACCAATCCCAATGCGCTCTCGGTCAGCCAATTCGCCACCCATCTCATTGCCGAGATCGAACAACTCTCCTTGGCTGAGAAGCGAAGTGGTGCAACTACGAAGAAGGAGGAAAGTAAAGTAAAGAAGATGGAGGAGATCAACAGAAAGGCCAAAGGAGGTGAAGGCAAGCTGAAGGAGATGGAAGTCAAGTCACCGTGCAAGTTCTTCCTCAGCGAGGCCGGATGTCGTCGTGGCCGTGATTGCAAATGGTCGCATGACCAAAAGGATGAACAGAAAAGGTGTTACCTATGTGGCTCCACGAAACACCTAGCTCCGACCTGCCCTACAAAGGAGAACTCAGGTGGAACTGCCCCCAACTCGCCACCGAAGGTTAAAAAGGAGAAAGAAGAAGAGAAGGATCCAAAAGGCGAGGAAGGAGGAAAAGGAAGTGGAGGTCAAGATGATGAAAAGATGGATCTCGCTGAGGCAAACAAGATGCTCAAGGCGATGAAGGACAAGGAAGCTTCGGAAGCCAAGCTGAGCAGATTGCATCAGCAGCTCGATGAGATCAAGAAAAGCATCAAAACCCTGAAGCTGACCCGCGTTCGCGAAGCGAAGATGGGGTCTTTGCAAGAAGAAGAATGGGGACTTTTGGACTCTGGTGCTACGCATCCCCTGAGGCCTCTTACGTCTACGGACAGCCTCGAGAAGTTCAAGAAGGTCTCTGTGTCTTTGGCTGATGGCCGCACCACACCTCTGCTGATGACTGAGTCGGGGGTGATGGTTTCAACAAATCTACAAGTGGAACCAATAGTACCCCTTGGAATGCTGGCGGGAGGAGGATGCAAGATTTCATGGAAGAAACATGGCATGAAAGTCGCCCATCCCACAAAAGGATCTCTGCCGATCAGCATCCAAGCGGGGTGTCCACAGATCCCCAAGCAGCTGGCCCTCGAGCTCATCCAGGAGTATGAGGATCGTGCCCAGGAGGTAAAGCAAGCTCGCTTGGTGGGTGAAGTACATCCTGAACGGGAGGTGGAGTGGATGAAGTCGCTAGTTGAAGGCCATCCAGCTTTGGCAGAACTTCCCGAACATGTCAAGAAGGCCCTGGTCCAACAACCGGGGGAGTGGAAGGACCTCCCTGCCAACCGACATCAACGAAAGCGGTTGAAGGCAGCTGGTTCGGTGATCCTGCATTTATATGCTGGAAAACGTGAAGGATTCACTCTGCAAAAGGCTATGGAAGAGCATGGCTTGGGAACCCGTACCTTGGAGGTGGACCTACAGAGGGGTGATGATCACGATATGGCATCCCTGGACTCGAAGGCCTACAAGGGCCTGCTTCGTTTGGCGTTGGATGGGGATTTGGCGGCGGTGATTGGAGGGCCCAACTGTCGTACCCGATCAGTTTTGCGACACTACCCCGGTGGTCCAAGACCTGTAAGATCCTGGGAAGAGCCATGGGGCATCAGTGCCCACAGCCCTGAAGAGATGGCTATGTGTCAGGAAGATGATGTCCTGATGTGGCGTCAGATCTTTCTCTTCCTGGTTGCGGACATGGCTGCCAAGTTGAAGGATTCAATTGATGAAGATAAAGAAAAGAAGAAAAGAGAGGAGGTGATGTTTCTGCTAGAGCAGCCTTCCGATCCTAAGGACTACATGCCCTCGTGTGTCTCCTTCTGGAGTACGAAGCCATGGAAGAAGCTTCAGAGTGCCGCTCATCTACAAGTCCACCACTTGAACCAAGGAGACTATGAACCCTGGAAGGAGGATGCTCCGGTGAAGCCTACAACTCTGGCTGCCAATGTGGAGCTCCGCTTACCAAAAGGAAAAAACCCGGGATCGAAGAGCAGAGGAGAAGGTCAGAAGGTTCCATCGTCCTCACTTGCTCGCTGGGTTCCGGGACTATGTCGTTCCGTCGCTGAAGCCTGTGCTCTCCACATCAATGGAAATGTGGAGGAGGAGCCGAAGCTAAAAAGGATGACATGGGAGCAACACTGTCAAAATGGTCACGTGCCCTTCCGAAGAGATTGTCGAATCTGCCAGGAGCAAAGTGCTAAGTCCCGACCGCATCGAAAGGTCACACACCCACTGGCAGCGACGTTGTCACTGGACACTGCTGGTCCATATCCTGTCGCCAAAGATGGTAAGGACTTGATGAAGTACATCCTCGTTGGCACCTACACCTGGCTTCTTCCTCAGGAACAGCATCCGCCAGTACCTGATGATGAACTGGCTGACTCTGATGAAGTGCTGCTTGAAGAAGAAGATGAGGAGGAAGGAAATGAAAGGTGTGATGAAGAAGAAGGTGGGGCAGAAGAAGGCGAACAAGGTGAAGAGATGAAGGAAGTTGAAGTGGGTGAAGAAAAAGAGAACCCCGATCTGATCACCTTTAGACTCGCCATTCCAATGGCCTCAAAGGATCAGAAGACGGTGCTGTCCACGATCCAGCAAATGTACATCCAGCTCAGGGTGATGGGCTACCACGTGGCGAGGCTTCACACCGATCTCGGGGGAGAATTCAGAGGAGGATCCCTCACCCAGTGGTGTCGCTCAAGGGACATCCACCGCACTACAACAGCGGGAGTCTCTTCTCAGTCCAACGGGCGTGCGGAAAGAGCGATCCAAACAGTGAAGTCCCACATCCGTCGAGCTCTTGGCATGGCTGGTATGCCGGCAAGTCGATGGCCTCAAGCATGCCACTATGTCCACGAGCGGGAGCGAAGACGCATGGCCGATCTTGATCTGGGGGATGTTCCGCCATTTGGTCATGAGCTCCTGGTCAAAAGAAGATTTTGGAAGACAAAAGAATTGGAGGCGACCCATGAGAAGGTTCGCTACCTCGCTCCAAGACCCGATGCTCATGGTCACCTGGTGTTGAGAGACAATGGCTCCACGGCGATCGTCCCGTACTTCATCATGAAGACCCAGGAACCTGAGCCGAGCCAATCAACTTGGATGGCTGTCACAAAGGCCGCTGAGGAGGCTGAGGGTCCCTATGAAATTAGAAGAAGGATCCGAGGAAAAATGGGAGCTAGAAATATGAAGTTGGAAGAAGATCAATATGAAGTGGTTGAGGAGGAAAGAGAACGACACCTGGAGAGGATCTCCAACATCGTCCTGGAGGAAAGCGTGATCATGCTCAAGGATGAAATGAAAGTCATGGACGTCGTCTATGAGGAGCTAAAGAAGGTTAAGAGCGCTATGCCCAAGGAGGAGGAACCAGTTCTTCGAACCAGGGTGGTCTCCCCAAAAGAACTCCTTCGTGAAGCTCCACAATGGGATGAGGCAATCCGGAAAGAGCTTCACCAGTTGTTCGAGGAGAAAAAGGCCCTCCGCCGGATCGATGAAGATGAGTTCAAGTCCCTTCAAGAAAAGTGGGGCAGAAAGTTGGAGGTGCTGCCCTCGAAGGTAGTGATCACCTTGAAGCCTGGTCCAAGAAGAAAGATCAGACTGGTAGCTTGCGGCAACTTCGTTGACCCAGCATCAGCGGAACAGAAGGATCAATGCCTGTACGCCTCAGGTGCGGACGCCGTTTGCCTTCGCTACGTCCTGAAGCGATCAGCTGAAGAGAGCTGGAAGGCATCAGTGCTGGACATTCGAACAGCCTTCCTCAATGCACCGCTGGACATCGAAGCTGAAGGTCAGGAGCCGACCATGGTGGTCTTGAAACCACCATCCCTTCTTCTGAAGACGGGCCATGTGGGGCCCAAGGACTACTACCTGGCTCAAAAGGCTATGTACGGTCTCCGCCAATCTCCGCGCTGTTGGGGGGTCTACCGTGACCAGGTGCTGAGGAAGTTGACCTCACCACAAGGACATCGCTTTGTCCAGGCCGAAGCTGAGCCTAATCTATGGAGCATCATGCTCGGTGATGGTGAAGATGAAGAATGCGAAGAAAAGATGGTTGGATTCCTATTGGTCTACGTTGATGACCTGATGGTTACAAGTGATGAGAAAACCGTCGACCAGGTGATCCAAGTTCTACAGGCCCAATGGGAGACCTCCACACCTGAAGAAGTGGGAAAGGACAAGGTCAAGTTCCTGGGCATGGAGATCACCAAAACAGTCGAAGGAGGATATCGGGCATCGCAAGAAGACTACATCAAGGACAAAGAAGGGATTCAAGATATAAAGAATATGAAAGTCCCTATGTCCAAGGATGCTGCTCCGATGCCAGAAGAGCCTACTCCAGGGTTGGTCAATGCAGCCCAGAAGCTCGTTGGCGAACTGATGTGGTTGTCAACTCGTACAAGGCCTGATGTAGCATTCGCTACGAGTCGATGTGCACAAGAAATTCTGCCACATCCATCCTGGGTGATTGAACAAGCCACCCAAGTCTGGAAGTACTTGAAGTCAACTCCCAATGAAGGACTTGAGTTTCCTCCTGGAAAAGGAGAAGGATGGGATGGAGGACCAAAGTCATTGGAGGTCTACACGGACTCAAGCTTTGCAGCGTCGCCGGAAACCCAGGCATCCCATGGCGCTGTGATGGTGTTGTGGAATGGAGCGCTGATGTTTTGGAAAAGCGGGCGCCAACCATTTCCGGCCTTGTCCACTGCCGAGTCGGAGCTGCTGGAAGCCATCGAAGGGCTCCAAACTGGTGATGCAGTTGATAGCATGATCCAAGAGCATGAGGAACCCTACGTGAAGACCCTCTTTGTCGACAACCTTGCGGCCACTGGGTTCTTCTCCGATGGCCATGCCAACTGGCGCACCAGACATTTGAGGCTGAGGGCGCAACATGTTCGCTGGAGAATCACCAACCTCGACTGGCGAGTGAGACACATGCCTGGCGCCATCATGATTGCCGACCTTGGTACGAAACCCCTTTCGAGTCAGCGTACTATGGAGCTGAAAGAATTGATGTCCATGGTCCTGCAGAAGAAGGTGGACGAAGAAAGAAAAGAAAAGGAGGATGGCCTAGGGGCGACAAGTAAAGAAAGAAAAGAAAAGGAGGATGGCCCAGGGGCGACAAGTGAAGAAAAGGAAGAA